CATTGCCAAACTTTGCCAGTAGAGACTTGTAGTCCAAATCTGAGGGGCCACCAGTGCCCAAAGAAATTGCTGGATCGACTGAAGTGCGTGAATACTATGGTACCCAATAGAGAGTAAGATTATATCCTCCTTTTGGGGTATAAGGAATATAATCTTACTAGGTTCAACCACCAAAAAACACTACTCAAATGTGTCCATCGATTCCGATGATGTGATCATCACGCGTATCAAGCTTTGCAGAGTGTGTCATCTGGTAAACCTAACTTGCGCGCTACTTCATCCAAGGACCGGGTGCTTGCGGGCAAGGCGCCGTGCGCAGAGTAAAGTTATGCGTAAGGTTAACAGTCAGCGAAAGAGATGATGTAGTACGTTGCAAAATTCGCAGTTGCCGCTGCACTGCTAGCTGCTAGCGAAAGGTGAGGCTAGTTGTTCCACGTTCCTTCCAAGATGTGGCGCAGCACAGACAGGCAGGGATGGTACAGGACTGCAGGATTTTACATTGCGGCGGTAGTATAGGGTGACCTTGAGGTTTCCATGGCTAGATGGAAGATTGATCTCTGGGTTTGGTGTTTGTGCTGGAGGTGCTGCCATTGGGAAAGGCGACATTTCCTGATATGGTGGAGGACGGCAGCTATCCCCAGTCCTTGTTTAGAATCAGATGTAGCAGCGACAATTGAAAGTACTTCCACCGAATCCAACAGGGGTGCCTCCGCGAGTGAGCAGAAGGAGAAAGCGAGGTATTGATCATGCACCAGGAAGAAGACTGGCAATGATATGAGAACCCCGGCAACTATGGACAAAGGTGCAAGATAGGATTTGCCTGGACCCTACTTATGCTTACACGAGGATCCTTGCAAACTGGTTCGGGATGTGTTGCTCGGGGAGTGCGCGGCTCTGCTTTGCGCAGGACTTTGGCAAAGAAGTGGCGATGATGCGGTCCCTGCCATCGTGCCTTGTCGTTCAAACGGTCGGCTGTGCACTAGCATGTTTTCATAAGCTTAATTAAGCCCAAACTTTCCAGTTCATTTGGCCACTGATGAGAGGCATGCAGCTATTGTGGGCTTCCACGGCGCTTGCAGCACCAAGCGATACGAAGAAAGCGGGCAACGGTTCAAGGCGTCATTACTCTGAGGTCACCTGTCACTACAGTTCAGAATTGCAATCACCTAGCAAGAGGCTGGTGCAGGCGTCCCCATGCACATCGAGAATAACGTGACCTCAATGATTCAAGGTTTACACAGTTTACACTGCTGACAGCTACTAGATTTGAATGTTCTATCGACTTTGGCTAGCGCTGCCGGCGTTGGTGTTGTTGAGCTTCTGATGCTTGACTATAGTTTGGGGCCAGTTTGGGGTGTCCACTGTTGCAACTGCAAGCCGCAGGCCTATGTGATGCTCCTGGAGCTGTGCGACATGACGTTAGAGTCGCTCATACGGAGACGAAGCGAGCAGTCAGCTTCCCAGTCCATCCAGACACAAGCACTGCCTTGCACGTTGGCCATACTGGAAATGATTCTGATGATAACTATGAAAACTGCCGCTGCTGCTGCTGCGGATAACGATTTTGGTGGTGATGATTTTGACCATCCCATCGGTGGTGCTTTGATCAACGCGGGTTTCCATTTCCTGTAAAACATGAATGGACAATAAATTGAACTTTGCAGTTGAGCCAATGAGTTTTCATGGCAATGAAAGGATGTGGCTATTGCGCGATTTTCCCTAAATTTGTTTTGCCCATGTATTGACAAGACGCGACGGCATTGCTGCCTGGAACTGTGAGTGTTTCTAGTAGTTGAGTTCGCTTGCCAGATGAGTGGTCTGACAGCCACGAGATGAGGCTAGCTCAAGTTCTTGCAGCATTCTGCACTGTGAGGCAGCAGCCCTTCGATGAAGCAGAGCTCCTCCATGTGCTCAAACAGGCCAAGTGAAAAGGTTTTTTCAAACTCCACGGTGTGGCGTGTACGAGAGCAGCCATATTGTCAAAGAATGCTTATATCTGATAGTCATGGTTGTGAGTAAGTCGTGGCAACATCATCAGCAAAAAGCAGGCTAACAGATGGATTGCAATGGCAAGGTTGCTGCAGGGCTGTTGCACCTCCACCGGCACCGGGTGTTGCACCGGGATCTGAAGTCGGCCAACATTTGGCTGCCCGCGGCTCAGGGCATGTAGGGTTTGGGGCGTGTCGGGAGGCTGAGACAGCGTGTGGGCTTTAAAATGGGAACCTGTCGGTTTTTTTTAATGGCAATTGGCACCTTCCGCAAACCCTAGACCCTAGATCCCAAAATCGCTAAACCCTAAACTCTCAACAAGTATCGCCACGGAAGCCTTGCTTGGGATCATGGTGAAGCATGTCCAAGCCGAAGCTAAGCTGCTGAGGATTCCTCTACTCACTGGTGGTTAGTAGGGATTGAAGGAATACATTATGTGGGGTTTACTATAGCGATTATCTTCCCCCTTATTCCCCACGAACAGCCAGCAAGTGCGCAGTAGTTTCTGCATGGCGTTTGCAGCATCAATCCCCCAAGTCTCTCCTTGGTCAAGCGGGCTGCGCGCGGAATGTTGAGGTGCAGCGCAGGAAGCATGGGGTCCGAGGCAGGCGGCTCAGTTCATCGTCCTGTGAGCCGTAATCAAAACTCCTTAATGGGAGTTACATAAGGGCTTATGTAGGCAACTAGTATAGGGGTTATTACGGGGAGTGCTGGGAGTTTAGACAGTGGCTCCTGTGACGAGGTTGACTACAAAGCACACGTGCTCGTAATTTGCTATGAGCGTCAGTACAAGGACACCTTGTTAACGGATATTGCAGCTCCATTTTGGAAATGTGGGTGGGGGTCCTGGCACTCTTCTTTTGTATTTCCTGATTGCTGGCTGCAGTGTAACGAGGCACTAAAACCAGGCGGACCGCTCCACCGTGAACCCAAAATATTTTCTGACCGGCCTGTCTGAAGTGTCATAGCGAGTGATGTCCTGACGTTGACCTCTTCGGGGAGCGACGCGGGACAGCACCCTGTCACAGAAGGCTGCTGGGATAGTAAAGCGGTTCTGCTTGCGTTTTGGCGTCACGTTGTCTTGCTGCACTTGCTGTCTTCCATCCTGTCATGTGCTAGTCTCAAATTCCACACTCAAACTCCATACCCGGAGTCCGATACCCTGAAACCATAGTCATTGCCCTCAGCCTTGCCCCTGAGATCTCGGATCCTATAGGTCACTTCCTTGGCCGTGAAGATCGGCGACTTTGATGCTGCAAAGGCCAGACCCCCCCTGCACCTTGAAGTTTTCAGATTCAAGCGCTAGCATTTTAACCCAGGAGCGTCTCTGTGAAGGTAGTGGACCAGAAGACGTGAATGACAGAGCAGGTACACTGTTTTAAGCCGCGAGAGTAGTTAGTAGCTCTCAGAAAAGCAGGAGTAGGAGGAGGAGGAGGAGGAGGGAGGAGAGGTGGTGGTGGTAGTTGCGGCGCTGTTTGCGGGAGTGGCATTCCGTGGTTGTTATCTGGTAGGTGGTCACTGTCATCGTTGCCCTAAAGTTAGGTAAGTGTAGAGTGATGGAGCCATGATCCTCTAGTCAGTACCGTTCTTGTGGAGATAGACTTAATTTCAATGTGCAGGCATTGACGCTTGGGACCCACATCTTTCCCTAAGTCCAGCATCCTCAACGAACCCTGCATTGTTTGTTTTTCAGCAGTCCATTTCCTCCAAGGTCAGGGCACGTTGGGTCGTAGGAAAGTCTTGATTGGCTCCCCATTGCCATGATGAGGTTAATCAAAAGTGCAGCACGTGTGCATTTTGAGGGTTCCTTGCAGCAAGGGTTCAAAGATTCTTGGGCATCAAGGGGCCCCAATGATGTCAGAAATGGCTGTTTGCAAAGAGACCCAGGGGGCACTGCGTATCTTTCACATATCTTTTGTCTCACTGAGAGAAAGTCAGGTTGGCAGCCGAGCGCAGACTCCAGCTGGCGCCTCAAACCTTTCAGACAGAAGCAATGTATGATTCTCGCGTGACACTGCCATACATTCCCCCCCGCACACCCCTTGTGTCATCTCAGCTTGGTATATCAGTTCTCTTTAGGCAAAAGGTCAGCTTCCAGTGACTTGCTGCCTTCAAATTCTACCTTTTTCATACCAGTCTCTGGCTGAGCCACAAGCGTTGCTACTTGGCCGGTTGGCAAAGGTGCAGACGCCGCACTTTATGGCACCTGAAGTGGCGGCACAGCCAGGCCATGTCGCAAGGTCTTGCCTGAGTTGGACAGTAGTCAGAGAAAGCCTGACACGCAATGTTGCCCCAAGCCCAACCAGCAGTCATACTCGTACATAGGCCACGTGCAGATTCTGTGGGGTAGTAGCAGTGGTGGCAGTTATGATATTGAGGATGGTTATGATGAGATCACAGCCCTCGGCGCTCACCTAGGTGAGGCTTACGGCCCTGCAGCCGATGTTTGGGCTTTCGGCTGCGTAGTCTTCGAGATGCTGGAGCTTGGCTTGCCATATGGAGAGGCCGACGGGCTTCAGGGCTCATGTGGATCAGCTTCCTCTGTTGTTTTCGGAATGTTTTCTGCTTTTGCTCCGTCGATTTTTCTTGTTGCCAGTACGATGATCCTCTCGGTCCTCGTGATTGTTTTGCCCCCTTCAGACCCCTTCCTTCTTGCGCTTGTTAGTGGAGGCTTGCTAGTAGATGAGGAGACAGAGCTGTACGTACTCTCCCAACCCCAGGACCTGACTTTGCCGCAGCTGGAAGCTGCAGAGGCCTCAGCGTCAGCGCTGCTTTGACCTCAACAGTTTTTTTAGGCGTTTAGGGTTTAGGGTTTAAGGCCCTCAACCCTAAACCGAGACCCTGAGTACAGCTTGTCCATGGTCTTGTTGTTGGAGCAGTTCCACGCCTCTATCCCTGAACCTGAAAGCCTTTGAGGAAAGGTCTCGAAAAACCCCGACCCCCAAACCGTATGCCCAGGCATTAGTTGCCGGTGCCGGGCCTCCATTGTCTGACCGGACGGCGGCAGAGTCTCGAGCGAAGGGTGTGGCTGGAGACTTGGGAAGCGTATTTCTTCATGGAGGTTGCTCAAAGTTTAGGGTTCAGGGGTTTGGGTCTAGGGAATAAAAGATCCCACGTGAGGGTCACGAACCCAGAACAATTTGAAAAAACAAGACGCACCTTGCAAAAGCTTGAAAACACCACATGTCTGCCTGCCTGATCCCCGTAGTAAGCCCATGCAGCTAGAGCATCTGCAGTGTGGTTACATTGCCTACATGCTGATGTCAGCAGCTGTGTCGCAACTTCCAAAAGCTCGGCCACACAGCAAACGCAGCGAGCGTTTTGCACGCCATCTGAAGTAATGTAAAAGGTGTTTGGCTACCGAGCCCCCAAACCGGAATCCGGTCGCTGCGGCGACGAGTGAGATTTCCTTTGATTCATCATCCAGCAGCTGGATCGGCAGCATGGCAGTCGCAACACTAACTTGAATCTTGAAACCCTGGGACCCACACAGGTGGAGCTCATGCACAAGTGCCTCAGCAAGGCTGGGATTTGGGTCAGTACACTTAGGGAATAGGGGAATATAGGGGTACTAAAGGAATGATGGAAAAGAACATGCAGAAGCCAATATTTAGGGTTGAGGACTATGTAGGGTATAGGGCTTAGGGAATGGCGCTGCTAACTGAAAGTTCGGATAGGATGCATGCCTTCTTCTATGGGGGGGAATTTGCAAGCTCAGCTAGCACACGGCTCTCTTGGGGATAGAATCGAACCTGCACCCCTCAACCCACTGAACCCTGAACCCTAAGTCCTGAACCCTAAGCCCAGAACCCTAACTCCGTAATCTCCGTATAGGGGTAAGCTTCGTAGAAAACCCTTGGCTCTGCTCTGGGGAGGAGGCAGCCGCGAGACCGACAATCGAAGAGGCTTGGAGGAACTGCACCAGGTAGTTAGAGGTTACAGGTAGTTAGAGGTTACAGCATAGGGTTTTAGGGTTTTAGGGTTTGACAGTTTGAGGGTTTAAGGCTTTAGGGGTGAAGGGTTTCAACGTTTCAGGGGACTTAGGGTAGTAGGGCTTACGGTCTGAGGGCAAGCAAGGTAAGGGCATCACGCGCCTTTGTTGGTGCAGTGCTTTGCGAGATCTTTTCTGTCTGGCAAGCCCTTTCGATAGCCGAAGTCGACCCTGGAGTTTTCTATTCCTGTATAGCTTGGATCCGCTTTTGAGGGGTGCCAGCCGTAGTGAAAGCAATCAAAACTTTAAGAATACTTAACAACAATAATAACAGCAAGGGTCTCCAGATGTTCCTGCCCGCTGTGGTTCAGCTGTTCAGCTGCTCGAGGTCCTCAATTGCCTGGAAGCGCTTTGCCGGGCAAATGGCCAAGCCTTCTGAGATGCTGGCAGCCTGATAAAATAATTCTAAACTCGTCTTCTCATGACCTGTAAGCAGACGCTGTTCTTGGCATGCGCAGTCTATTGCCTTACATACCAGCTCTGTGTATGCAGCTAATACGAGCGGGAGCCCAGTTGGGCTCCTATTAGGCTTACTGCTGCGAATGCTAGAATAGTGGTGCAGGTTGCATAGTCATCGCAGTTTCTGCAAATCGAAGTCCAATTGGGATTGTTTTCTCCAAGCCGCAGAGAAGCATTGTGTCCTACTCGCGGGGAATCGGTGTGTGTATGCGATCCCACGGTGTTGTGTAGACTGAAGCGACAAGATAAGGCACATCTGACAGACATGGGTATGAGTGTAGAGCATTAGAAGTGAACACACGAGGAAGGTTCAGCAGATCGTTTTCAAGAGCAGGCTCGTATGATTACAGGAAGAGGCTGCCAGCATATGGACCCCCAGGAGGGTCATATTGAAGTTGACTCTGGCCCTAAATAGTGGGAACCCAATACATCCCAAAATACTACAATCCTTACTGTATTCCCAAAAGAGTTCATGTTGAAGCTGACTTTGACCTTCGGGTGAGGCAAAGCCATCCTCGGCTGAGCCGGGGGATGGCCTCATAGACCCAGCTGCCAAGCAGCTGAAGCAGCTGGGGAGATAGAGCATGTGAGCTTTAGTCTAAGCTCCAAGGGGGTTGTGTAGAGGGCTATTTAGGGAGTATTATAAGGCTTCTTAAGGGGATACTAGGAGTAGGAAAGGCTATAGCTCATGTGCCGAAATCAGGCCCGTTCCCGAAAATATTTACATGAGTTTTGAATGCATTTGCCCAACAAAGAACGAGGATTTCGGCACATGTCCGTGTTGCTAGACCTCTCGTCTCAGTTCCTTCTCCTGGCCATGTTTAGGATCGCAGGTTGTGGAAAGTGGGCAGGCCAAAGGCGGAAGCACACTGAGAGGTCTAGCAGAATGCAGGGGTTGATCCAGTGATCTCCTCCAGTCCTGCTGATGCCATAGGTACAGTGGGGCCAGGAGTTTAATTATTGCATAGAACAAAAAAAAAGCCGCTGATGCATCCTGCAACATCCTTCCCAGAGAAGAGGCAAGAGGTTTTCAAGCTAGAATATAGGTGTTTATAGGGATTATATAGGGATAATGGAACAGAACATGGAAGCTACTACATCATAATAAGGGGTTGCTGCTTGAGGGTGCTTCCCGCCTCCTCAGCTTGCCGGAGCTTTTAATATCAAGCTGAATTACACATTGGGGCTGTATTTCATATCGGGGTTATGTAGGGATAATGGAAGAGAAAATGAAAGCTGCTATACTATATTAGTATATTAGACTGGAGTTATATTCCTTACCATCAAGTCGGGTATCCCCCGAAAAAGGGTGCCAACGAGCAACAATGACACATCTGAAAGCCGTGCGTGCTCGAGCCTGTAGACATGCTGGCATGCCGGAGCTGCACTTCTAAGCTTCAGGGGGTACACTCCCGGAAACTAACATGGAAACCCAAAAAGGGGCCATGAAGACTACAGTCCTTGTAAAAGGGGGCTATATGGGTTTCCATGTTAGTTTGGGGGAGTGTAGCTTCCGTGAAGAAGATTGAAGTTCGCCTGGTATGGATATACTGATATGTACACATAGGGTTCTTTAGATGGTGTTCTCTGGAAATTATCTAGGGATTGGCTTAGTGTGGCATGTCTCCAGAATAAGTTGGACAGTTCATCACGTGTGTTTGCACTGCTGAGCTTTTCAACTGTCGCCATGGCGCATGCGTTGCGGACGTTGAGGCCAGAGACATGTAGCAAGAGTGTATTTTACCAACAGCATGACAGTTCTCGCATACTGCTTTAACACCCAGCATCTTCTCATCCGAGAGCGCAGCCGAGAACCAGAAGGAGGGCAGTCCCCGTCGCAAATTTGAATTCGCATTTGCATCGTTATAACATGATGACACAATCCATGCTAGCCGTTTCACATATCAAATCGGCGGCATCAAAGTTGCGCCGGATAAATAGCAGCTTGCATTTTCTCTTCCATTGTCCCTACAGAACCCCTATACTACCCATATACAACCCCAATATACAATATAGCAGTTTCCATTTTCTCTTGCATTTTCCCTATATAACCCCTATTAAACCCCAATATGCTACATAATAGTTTCCATTTTCTTTTCCATTTCCCCTATAATGCAGCAGGTTCCAGGCCTCCAGGGCTGCGCGATTCGTGCGGCCAGTGACGACAGCGGCAGGCACCGGTGGCTGTGTACCTGTGTCAGCAGCTCGCTGATGAGTAAGTGTTGAATTTGAAGGACCGAGTTCTGGAACATCAAGCTGCATTATTTGGAAGCATTACTGTTATTGCTATGATCACTATTACGATGCTTGTTTTTTTTTTCTGCTATTATATTGTCACTATTCTCACTATTATTACTATTATTACCATTACATACTACTATTCCTACTATTATTAGTATTATCATTACTATTACGATTACAGTAGGCATGCAAAGCAATTCGACTCCACGGTGCAGGCCGCAATGCCGGCTTCATCTCGCGCCTGGAAGAGGAGCCAGCAAAGCCCCAGCGATCTTTTCCTCGTATTTGCATCATACGAGCCATAATCTAAATTTCTTAGAGGATTATATGGGAGCATTATAGGGTATGGTAAGGGGAAACTAGGACTTCAGACTACAGCTCATACTAAGTTCACACATGGACTGCAACATCTCCACGTCGTGTTAGGCGCGTGCCTGTCAAATTTCCAATTCTCAATATCTTAAGGATTGACATTGTCTCTACAAAGGGTGCCGATGCAATTTTCGTCCATGTAGGCAGTTGTGCAGCTTTAGGAGCTGCAGTCCATGAGAGCGGCCGGTACCTACAAGGCAAGCACCTTCATGTCTGAAGGACATGCCGCGGGGTATGCATAACAAGGAAAAGTAAGCAGAGAGATATGTATACCTGTCGCAATAATACGTATAGCGGAAGCTGACATGTAAAGAGAGTCGGTTCTCAAGGGTTTCACAGAGATTATGCCAACGTATTATTGGGAGAGCTGCCACCGCTGCGATTGCCATCGCCATCGCCGCGGTGCGCCGCCAACACGCCACCACCACGCCACCACCACGCCACCACCACGCCACCACCACGCCGCCGTCACCACGCCGCCGCCGCCACCGCTTCTTCTATCATAGTGGTTCCATGCTAAGGCCTGGCCTTATACGCATGCCAAAAAGATTGATGATTGGATGGCGCATGTTCAATGCTGATTGGCAAACCCACAATTTTGCAACTTTCTGATCAAGCTGAGAGCAGAGGTTGTGTCGACAGGAAGGGGGCTATATGACACATTCAACAAGCTCAGGCATAGATGTCAGGGTGGAGGAGATCTGCATTCACAGGTTGAGCGCGTCATTGAGGGCCCACAGGCTGGCGCTGTGACTGTCTCCGGTGGGCCAGCCTGCCCTGCTTTGGAACCATGTGAGCTCCAGTCGAAACTCCTTGAAGAGAGAGGATGTACTTAAACTTGGTGTTGTCATGATTGGCATTCCTGTTATGATGCTTGTTTTGTTAATATTTGTTGTTCCATCTCCACAACTTACTAAGCTGGAAAGCCTGAGGCTTTTTTTGGTACGATCAGGTTGCGATTGAGACCTTGATTGTCCCACATGTCAGGTCAGAACCTGTCCTCAACTTCTGTGCCAACAACTACCTCGGCCTCTCAAGCCATCCATCTCTAGTGCAGGCTTGACGAGCGAAACAAAACACAGTAGAGTGAGCAAGAGATTTCAGAGATTCTTGCAGGAGGTCGGAACTGTTAGTCGTTCTTTTGGTCACCGTTTTGACCCAGGCTTTTGCTCGCCTGTATCAGCGAGGGGGAGGAACTCATTGGATCTAGTGCATGCGACTCTTTTTCCAAGTTGTGGGGCCTTTCCCCTAGTCTCTAGACCCTAAGTGCTAGGGCCAGGGCATCGCTGACGTAGTGGCCGTCCTGCGCAGTGAAGAAGCAGCCAGGGTCCTTGAATGGTGGCAGCGCGGCACACTTTCCATGTGAGGAGATGATGTTGCTGAAGTCTACCCCCACAACAAATTTCTTACAGCAGGTGCCAGGCTAGTAAGGGTTCTGAGGAAGCTCAGCCTGGACCCGTCTGTTTCAGCAAGAATTAGACAAGAGTGCTCAAAGCGACTTCAGCCCTAAATCCTCCACCCTACACCTTTAATCCTAAACTCCATACTCTAAATCCGAAGAACTGCGAGAACCGCAAGGTCTACTGAGAGTGAAGCTGTAGGATTCTGCTTTGATGCTTGCGCTGTTGCAGCTGCTTTTCAGCAAGATCGGTGCTTGACGGCGCATGCCTACCGACTGCTGTGGGGACCATTTTGGACTCAAAAGCATCAATGAATGGTTTTTCTCCCCAGCGTAAGCTTGCATTAGAAAAGGGGAGAGAGGATGCAAAACAAATCCGAAGAACTGCCTTGTGTCGTGAGGCTGCTCAGAGCACGCTGTCTTCGCACGGCTTTGGCTTGTCCTCCGTGCGCTTCATCTGCGGCACGCAGGACAGGGGAGCGCGGGGGTTGCTCAAATGCAATATGCGGCTTTAGGGTTTAGGAGTGCTGCTAAACTGATATATAGGGCTTTAGGGTTTCGGTGTTCTTCTGGGGGCTGCTATAGTGCTAAAGGATCGTATGCATTTTGAAGAAATGCAGGAGGGGATCTTGAGTGCATAGGGCGGAAAGCAGATGCTCCTTCTGAGCTGGCAGAAGCTGAGCGAACCCATGATGTGATAGGATGGCCCAACAGCAGCCACTGGTGTCTGCCCTGTCTAGGACTTGCACAAGGAGCTGGAGGCGCTGGTCTCAGTGATGTGATGTGAAATTCTTGCAGTGAATCTGCAGAATCCCATACATGATCCGATGCAGCATGCGTCCTTTTTGAGCTTGAATTTTGAATGCGACCGTCAGGCAGCCATAAGCAAGTTCCATGGCACCGAAGATACCATCCTCTTCCCCTCCTGCTTTGATGCCAACGCAGGGCTCTTCGAGGCCTGGCTTCCTCACATTGGTTGGCCCATCTTTCACTTAGACCTCATTGGCAGCTTCTGAGTTCTGTGGGTTTTTTGACTTCTCTGAAATGTTGGTAAACCCTAATGGTTTCCATTTTCTTTTTCATTATCCCTATATAGCCCTATATTTCCCTATATTAGATAGTAGTTTCCATTTTCTTTTCCAGTGCAGGCTTGCCTGGGCCCGGAGGATGCTGTGATCTCGGATGCGCCGTGCCGGCACGGCTTGACCTTCCGAGCATCGCCTTGTTGGATCTGTGAGGAACAGCCACAAAAATCCATTTGGTCGCCCCCAAACCTTGAACTCTGAACTCTACATATAGCCCTACATACAGTAGCTTCCATTTCATTTTCCATGTTCTTTTCCATTTGATTCTCCATCATTGGGGTAATATCCCTAATTGTAAAGCTGCAACGATATGCCAGGCTGAACCATGCCTCGATCATCGATGGCATCCGGCTTTGCAAGGCGCAGCGGCACCGGTGGACCACCCAGATGTTCCTTGAGGACTCAGGGTCAGGAAGGTCTAAGGATTTTGGGCTTTAGGACTTGAGCTTTCTAAGCGGCCTAAAGCCTATACAGCCAAAACCTCCCGAACCCTGAACCCATCATCTTCTACCTCCCGAAATTCCTCAGTATCAGGCATTAAATCCTAAGCCACAACCGACAAACCAAGGTACAACCACATGGACATGACGCACCTGGAGGCATGACGGGTGGAGCCGGGTCGATGCGGCTAAGGTATGGAAGGGGCGCTATAGAGGTTACGTGCAGATGGCATAGAAATTTGAATGGGGAATTGTACAAAAAAGAAGGGGCAACGTGGCAAAACGAGGAAGATGCGAATTTGCACTTCAATTGACAGGAGATCCTCAAGGAGTGCGTTGCCAAAGGCACTCGGCAGAGGATGATTGTCACCGACGGAGCGCTGGCCTTAGGGGGGCTGCATCAAATGGGGTTTGCTTCGTGCCTTTGAGCTCATGGAAATGGTTCTGAAGGGTTATACAGCCCCTCAAGGCGAAATGTAGAGTCGACTCTGAGGAATCAAGCATATAGGATGTTTGTGTATCTTTTGACCGGATGAATGAAACCCAGGGTTCTTACCCTAAACCCTCAACCCTTCTTTTTCTCCAGGTTTCTGGGATCATCTGTTTTCTTCTTGACGCACATGCTGAATTGAAGGTCCCCAGGGCCATGTATTCTTGGAGGTCTTTTCCATGGATGGCGACATCGCACCTTTGCGTCTGAAGCCCGGGCTTCGTGTTGCCCCTCAAGTCAAAAGGAGGAGTTTGGGGTCACAAACATTGTACCCCAAATGGCTCCTCCTGCTAGCACGTTCGCGATTCTTGTTATCCAGGCCGATCGACTGCAGGAGGACGATCGTTGTTGTAATCTTCCTGGTAAGTCTGGCAGATGAGATACTCCCATTTCAGGATTGAGGCTTTAGGATTCAGAGCTTAGGCTTTCTGATATCTCGGTCAATCCACCCTGCTCGCTCGGAGTAACATAACAACGCAGGGCTCGGAACCTGCATCAGAACCACCCCCCTCTAAATCTCCTTACAATCACCGAGAATCCCGAAGGTTTTCCCCCGCCCCCTCTTACAAATATTTACAAATCTATTCAGGTGAGATCTGTGACCTTGCAGACAAGTACGAGGCCCAGGTCTTCGTGGACGAGTGCCATGCCACAGGTTTCCTGGGCCTGGCCCTTGGTTCGTTTTGGGGGTTTAGAGCCAAGGAATGTTTTTCAGGATATAGGGGCTGAGGGTTAAGGGTTTAGTAGGTTAACCCCAACCCTAAACCCTAAACTAGGAGGTTGCGTGCTAGGGATGTAGAGTTTTGCAGTGATACAGCGCTGGAGCGTGGATGGGGTCAGGCCACAGACTGGCTTCGGCCAATCCACCCAAACCTATGGCTCTTGATTTTGCTCACTCATTTTGGGGTGTAGGGCTTAGGGTTTGGCGTTTAGGTTTTAGGGTTGAGGGGGTCAACCACAGCCATCCTGCATAAGGGGAAGGGGAACATGTAAACTCCGACGGCGAATGTCCTGAACGCTACATATGGCCTTATATACAGCAGCTTCCATTTCATTTTCCAGTTTCCTTTCCATTTGATTCTCCATTGTTGGGGTAGTATCCCTCATTTTGGGAACTACCACTGTGCACCCTTAGCCCCTAAATCCTACTTGCTAACACCTTAATCGCCCCTATAGTAGGCCCCAAGATAATGCGCTATATAGCCCCTAACCCCTAAACCCTAAACCCCATAACCCCTAAACCCTATATCCCCTAAACTTCTTCACCAAGGGCTTCCAGGGGCAAATCGCCACAGGCACAGTAGGATCAGGTATCAGACAAGGGTGTCCCCTTAGCCCATACCTCTTTATCTTGGTTTTGACCGTTATATTCCATGACACTGATGAACTACTGCTATCAAGGGGCGTAGCGACAAACACTTGGTCTACAGGCTTCCCAACGTATGACTTGGAATATGCGGATGATACCTTGCTAATGGGATTGACGGAATCTCAGCTGAATGGCATGCTTCAGGCACTTGAAACGGTAGCACAGGCGTATGGCATGTCTCTCAACCAAACTAAAACAGAGCTTTTAACCAACCCCAACCGAGACTCCATCACGGTGCGGTTCACGAACGGATCCCCCGTTAAGACCACGCCGCATGCAAAGTATCTAGGCAGCCTAATAGCCTGGGAAAAACCCTTCGATATGGCGTTTACACATCGTTTCAATTTGGCAGAGGAGGCCTTCAAGAAACTTAGGTTAGTCTGGAA